AACGCAAGGTCGGTAGTTCAAGGTTTGGCTGCTACATGTCCTGTGCCAAAGTGTAGCCGAGCAAGACACTGAACCCCCCTAACTGCTCCCCGGGCGCCTCTCAGCAGCTCGCTGCTCCCAATAAGCTATGGATGGGTTAAATGCAGAAGTCACATTTCGTATATGTATATGACAATTAAATCTGAACTTTTTTATTTTTTTACTTTTCACATCACAACCCTCTCCCCAATTTGTTTCCACTTTCCCTTTGCACCCTGCCATTGTATCATGAAGACAGACACCATATTAATAAGTTCATAAGTTATGTATCACGCATCACAAACATCATTCATTCATTTATTCAATTCAATGCTTCACACACCAAAGCCATGGTGTCATTTTAATCACTCTGCCTGTTTTACATTTATTGTCCACTTGATGGCACAGTAGAGCAAATGAAGCACCATGAAGCTTCGGCCCATGAGTGAACCAATTGGATGGAAAGCTTCAATGCTCCATGAAGCTTCATCTCGCCATCACTTTGTGCTAATACGGTGAAATACCTTCGCGGGAGCTTCATATGTTTCTGTTCGTTTTTAAATGTGTGTCTCACTCTCTTTTACTTTCGGTTGAATACACGAAGCCCTGGTTCCGGATGAGGAAGGTGATGAGGTGGTTGTTTTGAGTGAGGAGGAGGAAGGGGAGGAGTCATGGCAGTCACGTGAGTTACTTAATGAAAGTATTTGTGAAACTATGAAAATATAAATAATATATGTTCCTTCACCAGTGATGGAAGTATTCAGGTCCTTTACTGCAGTAAATGTACAAATACCACATTATAAAGTAAAAATATTACTACCACACTGTACAAATACTCTGTCACAGTCAAAGTATTCTGTTACAGTAAAAGTACTGTTACAGTATAAGTACAAAAATCACACAGTAAAAGTACTCTGTCACAATAGAAGTACTCTCTTACAGTACAAGTATTCGGACCGTCACTTAAAATGTACAGTAAAAGCGTTTTGAAACAGTGAAAGGAGTTGAAGTGTCTGTGATGAACTGAACTGGGAGTTGTGGTCTGAGCTGGTCCAGCTGTGGAGGACACTGAGTCTGGGTCCAGCTGTGGAGGGCACTGGGAGTCTGGGCCTCCTGTGGTTCGATGACGAAGAGCACCTGCGACGAGCTCCAGACAGAGACGAGAAGACCTGAAGGACTCAGACTATCAAACCACTCAGTATGTAGCATGCTAGTTAGCTTAGCATGCTAGTTTTAATGTGTATTTATTAGTGCTGGGCAACGATTACAATTTTTAATCGCGATTAATCGCATTGTTATAGCAAAGTTCAATAATGAATTCAAAAGTAGTGTATTGCGCACTTTTATTTTAAAAGTACTGCTATATGAACAAAAGGTCAATAACATTTGGTTTGTAAACATTTATGTGAATATAATTCATACTTTCTTGGGCTCATTCTGAAAACCGGATGTTCTTCTGAAGAAACTGGATGTTGTCTCACGTTAATTTTTCCGGTAACTTTCAAAGTCCTTCGCTCGCTCTCGATCCGTGCCGTTTAAATGCGTTTACCGTGAATTTCAGCATATAGGTGCACTAAAGTAGTCTGCTGAGTTTACCACGGAGATCTGAGTGTCTGCTGACTTTACCGCAGCGATGTCCAGTAGTCTCCATTCCTCCACCGCTGCCAGTGAGCAACATACTTTCAAAATTAAAAAAAAATTTAAAAATGCATTAACGCGCTATAAAATAATTGTCAATGAAAACTACAGTGGTTCCCAGCAAAACATTTAGTTCATCTTTCACAACAAAGTGAAAAGATACATTTTTATCCTGTGTGGACTCTTGTGTGTCTCTTCAGATTTCCCTGCACTGTAAATCTTTTCCCACAAACATCACATCCAAATGGTTTCTCTCCTGTGTGAACTCTCATGTGACTCTTCAGATGTCCCTGCTGTGAAAATCTTTTCCCACAAACATCACATCCAAATAGTTTCTCTCCTGTGTGAACTCTCATGTGTTTCTTCAGACTTCCCTGCACTATAAATATTTTCCCACAAACATCACATCCAAATGGTTTCTCTCTTGTGTGAACTCTCATGTGACTCTTCAGACATTCCTTCCGTGTAAATCTTTTCCCACAAACATCACATCTAAATGGTTTCTCTCTTGTGTGAACTCTCATGTGACTCTTCAGATTTCCCTTCTCTTTAAATCTTTTCCCACAAATATCACATCCAAACGTTTTCTCTCCTGTGTGAACTCTCATGTGTCTCTTCAGAAGTCCCCCCCGTGTAAATATTTTCCCACAAACATCACATCCAATCATTTTCTCTCCTGTGTGAACTCTCATGTGTCTCTTCAGAAGTCCCTCCCATGTAAATATTTTCCCACAAACATCACATCCAAATGGTTTCTCTCCTGTGTGAACTCTCATGTGACTCTTCAGACTTCCCTGCACTGTAAACCTTTTCCCACAAACATCACATCCAAATGGTTTCTCTTCTGTGTGAACTCTCATGTGACTCTTCAGACATTCCTTCCGTGTTAATCTTTTCCCGCAAACATCACATCCAAATGGTTTCTCTCCTGTGTGAACTCTCATGTGACTCTTCAGACTTCCCTTCTCTTTAAATCTTTTCCCACAAACATCACATCCAAATAGTTTCTCTCCTGTGTGAACTCTCATGTGTTTCTTCAGATTTCCCTTCTCTTTAAATCTTTCCCCACAAACATCACATCCAAATGGTTTCTCACCTGTGTAAACTCTCATGTGTCTCTTCAGATGCCCCTGCTGTGAAAATCTTTTCCCACAAACATCACATCCAAATGGTTTCTCTCCTGTGTGAACTCTCATGTGTCTCTTCAGACTTTCCTCCCATGTAAATATTTTCCCACAAACATCACATCCAAATGTTTTCTCTCCTGTGTGAACTCTCATGTGTCTCTTCAGACTTCCCTCCCGTGTAAATATTTTCCCACAAACATCACATCCAAATGGTTTCTCTCCTGTGTGAACTCTCATGTGTGTCTTCAGATTTCCCTTCAGTGTAAATCTTTTCCCACAAACATCACATCCAAATCGTTTCTCTCCCTTTTGGACTCTTTTCTGTGAATCTACCTTTTTCTTCACTCTCAAACATTTCTTACGAACCAAACAGCTCGATGACATTTTTCCATAATTACACATCATGTGTCTCTTAAGAAAGCCCTTGTAGTAAAATCTATTACTACACTTGAAGAAGCTGAAGGATTTCTTGCCAGTGTTACAGACTACATCCCTTACAATTGTTTCCTTAACTTTCAGAGCATGTGTAGCAGAATCTGGTGCCCTGGTCTCCTTCCAATCACTGTCACCGTCTTCAGTTTCAGATCCAGAATCTAACAAAGGCTTTTGCCAATCATCATAACCGACTTCTGTCTCAGAGGAGTCAGAAACCATTTCATCATTAGCATTCAGTTGTGCATGATGATCTGGATCTAGGTTCCCGGCTGGTCCTGATCCTCCACAGTCCTCT